AAAAAGGTCGTGGGTTCGAATCCGCTATTCGACTACTGGCGTGAACCACTCGTAACACAAGCAATTTAAGCTTACCACGAGTGGTTAAGGGGAATATTAGTAATGTTTATAGCATTGTTAATATTCTTAATAAAAAACATTTAATTTCCCCCATTACCAGGTTTAATGGAAAACTACAAATACGATTCATTTTCTGATGAAAAAAGTAAGTAATCAGGCAATAATAAATATTTTCTTGCTGTTCTGTAATTGTCAAAAAATTGAGGTTCGCTCCTTTGCGGCGTCAGCGACGAATTTCCTATTTAAGAGGATATAGTAAGTCAGCTCAAATTCTAATTTCGCCCCCACTTCCCCGCGCGTCGTATGCTATGTACCGACATGTTTGTAATCACTAATACTGTAAGTAGAAAGGTCGTTAGACACTTATTTCATTAGGTTTATCATATTTATGCCTGTTTCTTAACGCCAAGCCAGCCGCTTCTTATTTTTATTACGGTTATTTACCATTTTAATTTTACGTTGTACTGTTGCGTAATGTATATTCTGATCGTAAGCGACACAACTTCTCCCTTCAAAAGCCTAAGCGATACTAACGGTGCGACAGGAATCAAGCTCAAGACGCCGATAGTTTAGGTAATTTCTTTTTACAGTGAAAATAATGGTATTTTAAAAAAAAGTAAATAACATAAGCACTGCTTTATAGTTAGTTCAGTTAGTATGCAAAGTTTCATGATCTTATTTAAAGTATTTTATGAATAACAGCGGTTTATTGTTTATTTTGGAGGTAACTTTGGATTTTTTTATACTGAGAAAATTTTACGAAATCGTGTTTTCGTCTAACATAATCCTTAACATTAATCCTCAACTTTACCGTATATTTATTTCAAAATTAATGCTGCAATATTTTCGGCATAACGAGGGATCTTGCTAAGCCATTTGACATTATATTTCCCCTTAATTCTGTTAGTATTGAACATTAAAATGTGTAGTGGCGGTGCCGGAGTAACCAGTACCCCGTATAATCCCGTGAGCAGCAGCATCTTCTTGATAACCATTCAAAATGATAAAAAAACTTCGGTTGCCAACTCGCTTGCCAAGCGTCGCAGCTGGGTCTACGTATTTCCGGGGCGTCTTTGTGGAAAGTTAAACATGATATATTTTGTAGAGACTCTCTCTACAAAAAATATTTTGATATCTAATAGGTATACCTAGGTAAGTAGAGTTTGATTTAAGAAGTTATATTGACTATGAAAGCGACAAGGTATTCATTGAATGAAAAATTAGATTTTTCATGAATCGAATAACATATACCAGCACATCACAGAATACCAGCGTAAAATAGCAGCTTAATACTGCTGTGTTTCGTATGGCATCCCATCTTAGTCCTCAGGGGTGACAACGTAACTACGTTTTGATTCTTAATCGAGGATAAATGTAGATGTCTATGGGCCATAGTATCCACTTACCTTCAGGTGGACTGTGTGCTCGTTTGTCACCCTTATTAAAAAAAAAATCGAATTACATTCAGACGCCAATGTCGTGGAAATCAGCGTATTTCAAATGAGTAAGTAAATACGTAGGTATTATTCAGTCGTTTGGTAGATTCGTGCACCAAAATTGGATTCAAATTCGCCGCTAATGATGTTTCAAATACAAATAAATAAAACAACTTGGGATTGTGAGCGTGTGGATCATTAGCAAACGCGACCAACGCATATGCAAGTTTCATTGCAAAAATTGATTAGGTACCTACTATGTACCTACTCTGTGAAAATTTACTCATCTTTACAAAAATGAAGGAGTTAAGTAACAGAATCAGGTTTTAAAAGCAGACTAGGTAAGACACATCATTTTTAATTTTACGCGTATCATAGCTAAATAATTTTAGCATCTTTATTTTAATTGCAAGAGTGTTATGTTCTCCTGGTATATATCTACTAGTCTCAAAATAAAATAACTTTGTTTATGGAAAAAAATTAACCATAAATGAACAAGAACCTAGGACTAAGTATTAATATAGGATTAATAATATTAGTGTACAGATTAGGAATACACCGCATGGTTAGAGCACAAAAACTGTGCCACTGCCCCACACGTCGATTCATCTCACCATTAGTTATAACGAGAAATTATTATTTTATAGGTTTTGTGACCTTAAATCGTAAAAATTAACAAAAGGAAATAAGGACCAGGAAAATTTGTAGCACAAGACAGATAATGGAATAATCAATCAAAGGAAAAATAATTGTGACAATATGGTAACGTAAGGGTAATATGGTCATCCGGTTAATATGGTCACTTTCTTATAACTCAAAAACTACAGCCTTGTTTGCATAGATGGTTATGTGATACGATAGCTCTTCATCGGTTAATCAAATATTAAAGGGTCAAAACTGCGCTGCTTCATCGACGCCATTTTGATAGTTGACATTAAAGTAAACATTTTAGTCGATTTTAGTATTGTGTAGTGTATTTAGTTTTTAAGTTGATTTTTCAAAGTGTTCCTAATTATTGGCAAAGCTTGTTTGCTATTATTTTCTTAATATATTAGTTATAGTATAACGACTTTGTGTTTTTGTTTCAGGCCACCATCTAGGTTTGGTTTTACAGGGCGGCGAAGCTTACGATGACCATATTACCCTACGTATTTTATTTAGACCGATGCGGTGGTAAGCACACGATGTCTGTATGCAAGCGCTCTTGTACTGTGTTCGTAAATAAATACTTCAAGCTTGAGAGAACACTTTTGTCCAGTGATAGATTATTTACATGCTTATAATGAAAGTGCCGAAGCGTACAACTGTATCCGTAATCAAGAGGCACGGAGAGCCCCTGAGACATGAGGTAGAGTTAAATACAAATTTAGAAAAACACCGTACAAAACACAATAACTCTACCTAACTGACCCCAAGATGCAGGATTATCCTAGTTTGGAGTCCAACGGAAAACATTTGTATATCTTATGTTGAACATTGTTTTGCTTACTGTTCTTGCTTACATTTGTTAAATCTATTAGTATGTCAATAAAAATTTATGTCAATAAACTCTTAAGTTCGTAGACAAATTATTAGTGTATTATAATTATTGTTTTGGATTCAAACCCAGAGAACTATTTGCAGAAAAGTATGCTGCCACAAGCCTCGCTGTCTTGTTAATGACACCTATGTGAAGCAGGTAGGTATAGTAGAAGATTATCACATTGTTTGTAATTAAAAACTTTCAACAACATACCCAACATATTATAATGTGCAGTAAACAATGCAATGGTCGGACCCGGTGAGAAGGATATCAGTATCGTCATCATCATTTTCTTTTATTCATTTGGGCAATACCTAGTAGTGTTGCCACCTTTTTTTGAACAAATATACCTAGTATTTTACTAAAAAAAGATACAAAAAATAGTACTTTTGAGAAATTCAGGAGAAAAAAAGTACACATTTATTCTTAATCTTTATTTTTTTTTCCATTTGTTATTGCTTTTTGCTTTGGCCTTCAATGATCTAATATGTTAGAGATAATATGATAAGGAGTATGTTAGTGGCTGAATCTGAATGATCATGGGTAAGAAATTGTGTAATAAATGAGAAGAGTGTGGTTAATGCAAGATGACTGTTGCGACCAGGATTTAAGAAAGGAATGCTTCGGTGGTTTGGTCATGTGGAAAGAATGAATGAGGAAAAAGTGACAAAATAAATTTATGGTGCAGAAGTGAATGGGCAGAGTCGGAAAGAGTGGACGTACCTACGGGGCTTGAAAATTTATCGACTCTTCCAAATTGGCGATTTTTTATTGACCAAACGGGCCGAAATTAGGAGTAGGTGGTTTCCACCTTAATCCGAGCCGAGTCATGTAATGCGTATTGGTGTATGAGATGTGAAGGAGGCAAGAGAGGATGTGTAGCCAGGATCGTTGCCAAATGGAAGTCTGTAATCTCTGCCTACCCCTCTTGTGTTGACAGCCGCGTTAGTGTTTATGTATGTATGATCTGAATAATCTTTAAACATTTAATTATAGGAGTCTGAGCAATTTTTTTTCTTTCATTTCTTTAGTCATTTCATATTAAAATAAATGAACAATTAATTTTTAATTAAATTACATAATACATGCTCTATTTCTTTCTTCTTTCTATTTTACATTCATGACGGAAAAATCATTTCCGTAAAACTTACTTGTTCCAGGCTTCTAATTTACAGTTGATATAAGTGTGATACTTGAATTAGGGATAAAAATATAGTATTTTTCGTACTACATATATTATTTTTCCATAATTAATAGTCTGATACTATATATTAGATATAGTACGGATGACAACCCTAGTTGTACCATAAATAGAGTCCTGCTAAGTGATTTTACCTAATTTTTTAATAACAAAATATTGAGTAGTTACTACAAGTCCTGATTATGAAGCTGTAAAAGCCAAAGGATTTACAGCACATAAATTTCAGATCATAGATACAGCAAATAACGCTAAAAGTATCATGCATAACCACTAATTACTTAGGTAACCATATTTTATAAGAGTATTGCGTACGAGTTGTTATGAAATAAAAAAGTATTACCTAAACCATTGAAAACTGGTTACGTTTAAAGCTGAGAAAAATATTTGTAATCTTCAGGAATATTTTGTATTGTCATACTAGAAAAAATTGTTATTAAATTACTTTTACTTCATTAAAAATATAAAAGTAATTCGAAATTACATCTTGATAGATTTTTCATACTAAAAATAATTACTTACACATTGTCTTCAAAATTAATTTGAATTTAAATTATAATAAATATGTTTATAATTTTATTTATAACTTTTTTAATAATGTTTTTTTAAATACCTATTGTGTGTAACCTATATAAACCTATATAAACATCTTTAGATTTTCCAGCCCCTTTGCCTCATTACAATTAGAATTCCGTACCTGTCATAATATATTATAACCAATATAGGTTATAAAAGGCTCAAGTAATCAAATTTGTATTGCTACCGAAACAAATGGCTTACTTACCTCCATTGTCAGTATTATTCGCCTCGAAGGTTTTACTTGTCATGTGGAAAAGAGCATCGAGAGGCGTGTGTGGGGCGTTAGAACTCTGCGGCACTCGCCTCGGCTCCGAGCAGCAATCTGATGCTGACGACGACCGTTCGGAGGCTGAATCACAACATTCCGCCGGGGCCATCTCTCTCGGCCTGAGCAGACCCAAAGCCGCTAGCCTCCAACGTTCACCGTCCAACAGCGCAGCGCCGGCCAAACGCTGCAAACGCTGCAGTCTCTCAAAACCCGACGCATCCCACGGTCGCACTATACGCGGCGGAGTGCGTGGACTGTGTGATAAAATGTCCAATATAGAGAAACTCTTCACGCCTTCACCACGCCGCTCCTCCACCGGCTCCGATGCCATTTTCAAGCGTTTCAACGGTCTGAAGTAATCTTGGGGTGATGGCGACCTCGAAGGCGCCGGCGAGGGTCGCCCTACACTGATATCGTCTTCGGAACAGCTGTGTCCGGACATCGACTCCTCCTCCATAGTTCAATTCACATCCATCACACAAAAGTCACAATGGTATCGGAGGTTCTTCGCGGAACGTTCACAAGATACGGCTTACGGCTCGACGCGCCTCGATCAACTGACGTGGCGTGTCAAACCCGGCACGGGCGGCGCGGCAAGGCGGTCCACGTTCCAAGATCGACCAATAGCATGGCCCCATTACATCGCGCCGCCATTGGGATTGGTTGGCGGGAAGACGAAAGGCGCGTCCGCTTGTCACACTAGATGCTCCAATAAAACTTTTTAATCCGTCCCTCGATTGGGGGGCGAGATTCGTGGTGTGATTAATTTAGCTCGCTGCGGACTGGTGCGGGGCGAGGATGGCGAGTGAGGGGGGGAGCCGGTTAATTACCGAGATGAAGACGAGAGTCTAACTACGGGTGCTTCATTATTTAGCGTCGATAAGACCAACGTTTGTCAGTGGAGACAATGTCACTTTTCGTCATTTATAATTTATCTGCTAATTGTTGTATTTCGACATCAGCGGGCGACGTGGGAGGCGTGAAACCGATTATTAAGGTTTAATGTCCAATAGTCTATGTAAATTATCGTCTGGTTTTCGCATCAATTTTCTTGATTACGGCTCATTACAGCTTGTTCGGATAATAAGCGTGTCCACATTACTCTGTGTTCAATTTTAAGTTATAAAATTTTAATGCTCAGAAGGGCTAGAACCCAGAGCCGTAAAGCCATTTAATTAATATTTTTTTTAAATATCTGCTATATAATATCTATTATATATTTACATTTATTAATTATTGCCAATCATCTAAGTATTGTCATTGTGTGTACTAAGTACCTAGGTCATAGGTATCTAGGTATTCGTAAGTGTTGTTACTCATTATTATTCCTTAAAGTAAAATCAGATAAAAATAACCCAAAAAAAGTAACTTCGTAGATAACCTCGTAAAATAAAAGGACCTATTAAACTTTTTTTAATACAAAATATACCTAGGTACCTACTACCTACTAACACTCAAAGTAACCCGAAAACCTATGATTCACGCCTGAAATCAGAATAGCGGATTCCAATAAAAAAATACCTAACATGAATAGTATTTAATTCGTTACCACAAGCTGAAGTTAATTTCTTTAACTGTTATATCAGTTCGTTTTCCGACCATTATTAATTGCAAATAAAATGCTCTTGTTACATACAGTCTTTTCAGTTTTAGAAATCTTTCTGCTTTCTATCTTTTTAGTTTGGAGTAGGTAGGAACCTATATCCAGTGCGAAAGCGAAGCAACAAGTCAAACGTGTTCATCACTCACTGCAGACAGTCTCCGAATGTGGCGATGCCCATATTGTGTGATTTAATGTCTCCAAAACACAAGCGCGTTTCTTCACCGCAAAGTTGAGCCCAGTAGATACCTATTTATTTTTGGAATGAACTGATTGTATTCACTTGTTAGTCAAAAAAAACCAAAACAGAAGCAAGTAAGCTAGAACTTGCGTTTTATTATATGAAATACGAGGGTGGATTGAAAAGTACTCGGCCTAACCAAAAAAATAAACACATACTAAATCAGTTATATTTTTATTTTTCTACATAATCACCATCAAGTTCAATACACTTTTGCCACCTCCCCTTCCAAGCATTTAGACCGTTGAAAAAAAATGATTCTTCCTTAGAGTCAAAATATGCGTCTACAGCTGCTTTGACCTCGTCGTTTGTCGAAAATCTTTGACCTCCCAAGTGCTTTTTTAGGTTAGGGAACAGAAAGAAGTCTGATGGTGCCAGATCAGGTGAATACGGCGGATGCGGTAACATTTCAAAGCCACAGTTGTGAATTTCTGCCATTGACTGTACTGACGTGTGAACACGGGCGTTATCTTGATGAAACAGGACTTTTCTTCTGAGCATTCCTCGACGTTTTTCTTTTATTTCCTCTCGTAAATGACGTAGTAAGGTGCAGTAGTAATCAGAGTTTATAGTCTGATCCCTTTCAAGATAATCAATCATAATCACACCTTTCGAGTCCCAGAATACTGAAGCCATCACCTTATTTGCCGACAAAATCGACTTAGCCTTTTTAGGGGGTGGTGAACCAGGTCTTCTCCACTGTTTTGATTGTTGTTTTGTTTCCGGTGTACAGTAATGAACCCATGTTTCGTCCATAGTAACAAAACGATTCAAAAAATCATCTGCATCGGCTTCAAATAACTCCAAACAGTCGCGTGAAATAGTCAATCGCGTCTTTTTTTGTTCAACTGAAAGCAGTCGCTTAACCCACCTCGCAGACACCTTGTGGAAACCCAACTCGTTGACAATGATGTTTTGAGGTCGTTCATAAGAGATGCCTATAATCTCGGCTATCTCTCTAATTTTTAATCTGCGGTCTCCCATTATTAAATCAAGTACTTTTTTAATATTTTCGTCAGTAGTTGACGTCGAAGGCCTTCCAGAGCGGGGTTCATCTTTCACACTCTCTCTACCACGCTTAAATTCTGCTATCCATTTTTTGACGGATGAATATGACAGAGCACAATCGCCTAATGTACTGACCATGTCATCATGGATGGCTTTTGATGATAGCCCCTTCTTATGGAGGTACTTAATGACGGCACGCTGCTCGATTTGCTCCATTCGCGGAAATTATGTCCGATTACTTTGTTAATAAATTTATAAAATCAGAACTAATTATCGCACACGTTTCGAACTTCACACAATGAACTAGTCTGAACTGAACTAAATAATGTGGGTAGATTTGATTTTTAGAATTGAATGGATCTGTGTTAGGCCGAGTACTTTTCAATCCACCCTCGTATTTACTGCCAAATATGGGTTTGTGCTGCAAAATGCTAACATAGGAAATACTACCAAGATTTGGTGGAAACCAATCTTGCCAGTCTCAAGCACAAAGCATCCAGTTTTAAAGAACACAATCTAAAGAAGGCGCGCAGAAATTACGTGATTTAATTTCTCCATCCCCTTTCTACCACAGTACAACCAGACGCTCTGTGGGTTTCTACACCTTTGTTGTCGACATCCTATGCATTCGAACTAAACGGTTTCCTTCGTTTTCTGTATGGCGTGATCCATCAGCCGTCTGTCTTTCCGTCAATTTACACTCACACAAAGTTAGAACCCGAGACTTTGATGTTCAAATGTTAATAACATTAGAGATGTTAGTTGTAGGTACAAGACTATTAAAACGGTGGAAAAGCCGCAATGAGGAAGCTAGTCTCCCCTATTTAATTAAAGTCACCCTCATTTCAACGTTAACTACGTTTCAGAAATTTGAAACGGAATTTTAGTCTTAATTTCCATTGAATTAGATTTAAAATTCAAATTGTTTTGACTATTTTGTCACGATTTCTTTCGTTGCCTACTGTTGTCGGCGCCATTTTGAAATAGGTAGTTGTTTACTTTCGGTTCAACTTCACGCTTCGTGGTTTATAGGGTGACAGACGTGGAAAAGTAATCTAATTTGAGATTTTACTTCTTTTTTATCTCTTTCAGTTCCGATTTATACCGGTTAATAATAACAGACCACAAGAATATTTATCTACATATTTTTATAGTTCAGTAGGTACAAGTTTTTTTTTTTGTGAAGGACTGATTGTTTCTGTTTAATACATAAATTAATCAGGAAATGTAACGTAGAAAATATTGACCTACCACTAAAAGGTCTATGATAAAAAATAACAAAGTGTAAAATATATAACAATGAGTTAGGTAGGTACCTATAGTATAGACAAGTAGTGAAGCATCATAAAAGCATTTATATGACGTTAGGAAATCTACACAACACTTTCATAAACAACGTTGTAAACATTGAGCTATTATGTACTACGTTCTTGAGTCGACACTGCATTCAGCTACTATGTTCCATTCAACTGCAGTGCAGACACTGCACTTTAATCATCAGTCACTCGCTCGTTCACTCGCTAGGTAGAGTTGACACGTGTTGCGTTGATTTAAAAAAAATCTCTTGACAAAAATATGCCGTCGTGTGTACAGATATTGCACAAATAATTCAAGAAACGTCAGTAAAAACCAAGGAATTACTTTTCATCGGTTAATAAGATACTTAATCAATAAAAAAGTATTACGGTTTAATAATAAAACAAATTATTCCTAAGACGCCATCTTGTGTCAGGGAATATAGATTATGAAATTAATTTGTTCAGATGCGACATTTCTGTGGGTACTTAAGTATAGGAAGAATATATTATTATACACATTTTTGTTTTTGTAGAAACATATATAAGTTTTTATAATTAGACTTTTTTTTAAATTTAAATCTGCTCATTATTATTTTATTTTATTTTTAGATTTCAACATCAAAGTCAAAGTGGAATAAATTCGTCCATTTTTAACTCTCGCGTGTCCAGCATTAATGAACGACTGTTATTATAATTTAAATGAATATATTTGTAATTAAAATCTTATATTAATAAGTTTTGTTAAACATACAGTTAGTATGCTTTTTTATATTTGACATAAATACCTTTTAAAAAATTCAGATAAAATATTATTAAAATGTAATTGTGATATAATATTATGTAACATTATATTAAATAAG